ATGAGAAATTGAATCACTTTTTTTTTTTTTTTAAGAATAGTTCTGGTCAAGAACTGTTCCTTAAGATGATATGCTAGCAATTTGAGATTTTTGTTATAACTAGAAGACCTTTGTAGAGTAATGTATAAGAATCACTTTTTAAAGAATGATGAATGAAATATTCTTCATGGAAAACATTTCTTGGAAGTGAGTTCAAGGAATACTATTTAAAGCAAATATTTATTTTGAATGCTGGGAAACTTTTCTTAAAACAATATAGAAGGAGTTCTTCGAAGAACAATTTGCAGGTACATCATAATTTTTTAAAATATATTTTAGAGAATGCATAAGAAGTGATTTTTGAAGTAACATGTTGAAATTTCTTTTTTTTTTTTAAGTAACAAACATTTTTTAGGTAGATTTTCTTTGAATTGTACATAAATAAATAAGATATATTTCTTGACAATCACTCTTTGAAATGTAAGAAACAATCCTTGTAAAAATGTAAGAGATGTACTTCCAAAAAATTATGAGCGAAAATACTTCTTGGAACAACACATGACAAGTTTGTTTTTAGAAATCATCATTTAAATGTAAAAAAGCATTTCAATATGGAAGTATGATGAGAGATACTTTTAAAAAATGATAACTAATGAGAAGTGTTTCATGATAAGCATTTCCTAAACATATGCATGAATATTTTGAGAATACTTTTGAATAATAAGAAATAGCTTTTATAAAAATAAATGTGGAATACTTATTAAGATATCGAGAGAATATATCGAAAGAAATTTTTTTAAAAATGAGAATTACTTCTTCGAATAACGCATTAAAAATATATTATAGGATAATTCATGGAAATTTATTATGAAAAAAACTTTTAAAGTTATGCATGAAATTCTCTTCTTAAGAAATACCTTTTAAAATGAAACACAATTATTGGCTAGGCGTTTCTTAGACAATTAGCGGCAAAAATAATTTTTTATAATGTTATGTATAAAAAAAGCTTAAAAATAACACATAAAAGCTGTCTTAAGATGTTAAATAAAAAGCATTGTTTTAAGCTTTTCTTGGAGAAATATAAGAAATTCACTTTTTTTTTTTAAATCTTGAAGCGACGTTTAAGTATGAGTGAAACAGTTTTTAGGATAATGATGATTTATTTGAGCTATTGCACAAGAAGTTTTTCACAATAAAAAGAACACAAGAGATTTCAATTGTTAATTGATTTCTTTTGGAAGAACTTTTTTTTTTATATAAAAGTAAAGTAGTAGCAATGAGAAAGTAATAAAGAAGACTTTATGGTTAATTTTTTTTTATGTAATTGTATATAAGGTAATGTAATAGTAGAAAATACTATATCAATCAACTTCATTTCAAGAAAAACTTGTATATGAAAGCAATATGAAACTTTCTCTTTTTAGAAGAGTGACATAAGAAATTCAAGAGATCACAACATCAAACTTTTGTTTATTGGGAAGAACTTACAAATGAGAATGATGGAATGCTACAATATTTTCTCTTTAAAATATTTGATATGTGATATTGACAAAAATAGTACAAGACCATAGGACTTTTTTACTAGAAGAACTTGTATGTAAACCAAATAAAATAGCAAAGATTTAATATATTTTGCTTCTTTTAGAAGTATTTTTTTTTTAGAAAAATTTTCAAGTTTGGAATTAACTATTCTTTCAAATTTGTGTCATGATATGTATGCACTATGCATTTTTGCTCCACTATATTCCAAAGAGTTTTTAAGTGTTTCTTATGCAAATTATTTTCATAGCAAGGTGAACTTCTTAGCATATAAAAATATATGATATAATAATATGTATATGATGTAGTGCTCATGAGATTTTTTAATTTTGATGTTCGAAAAGTCTTGATAGTATTAGTATTTCATTGTAATTGTAATATCTCCACTTATGAGGTAGATAATGTTTATAATAATAATACTAATATAATTGTATATGTGGCCAAGGAGAACTCTCGATTTCATCTAAGAGAGATAAGTTCTCAACCCAATACAAAGAAGATGTTCAATCCAAATAAAAGCAATGAAGGTATGGTCAAAAGTATCAAGAGAAATGATTTTCATCATAGTATTTAAGAGATTGAGGCTAAGAAATAAGCAAAAAAGCTGTGGCCAATAATTGTATTTTCAATTTATAAGAAAAAGATAATTGTCAACTCAATAACAAGGGAACTCACTTGATAACAAGTATAAACAATAAAGTTACAGTCAAGGAATGAGTGTTATAACTGTGGCTAAAGAAAAATTTTCAATTTGGATTCTCAACTTGATATTAAAGAGGTTTACTTGATAGCAAATATCAACAATAGAGTAGTGGCCAAAGAATAAACGATAAAGCTATGACCAATGAGTGATTCTCAACCCAAAAAGAAAGAGATCAAACTCTACTATGTATTAAGGAGATAGTTTTTTTCTCGATTTGGTACCAAAGAGATTAATTTGATCTCAAAACATGAATTATTAAATTGCAACCAATAAAAGTGGATTTAAAATAGTGACTATATCAACTTTGTATCTTAATTTGATTTTGAAGATTAATGTTATATACAATTAAAGAAAACTTTCAACACAATTTAGGGTAATGACTTTTAGTTATAGAAAGGTAAATATTTTTATCACTTTTGTAATATTTGATAAAGGAGTATGCATTAGAATAGACATTTGTTTATTTTCTTTTTTTTCACATTAACATTTTTATTAATTAATTGAAATTCTTAAATCTATATGCACTATATAATAATAATAAAGAAATGATTAGGTAGTTGAAAAATAGTAAAATGTGAAGATTAAAATATTTGTAACTAATTAAACTTTTAATATGAAAGAATAAACATTCTAACTAAATTATTGCTCTACCATTGAGTATTCTTATGGCATTAGGATTTTCATATCTAGCAAAGATGCTCATATCATGTCTTTGGAGAAGTTCTATCCAATGCAATCACTTCACCCCAGTGGAGTCGCGAAAATATAAATAGGTTCTTTGTTAAGGTAAGGAAATGTTGCAAACAAGTCAAACAAGATATGCCTAGAGATGACGAAGAGGAAGATTGGAGCAGACCTTGAAGTATTGAGTATAGAGGCAAGTGTTGGTAGGTGGTGAAGAGAATAAGCTAAGAAAATGATTTAAGAAAAGATAATTGCAGAGAGAACTATATAAATTTGTCAAGGCCTCTAAAAGTGTGGAAACCCGTACCCAACCTGCGAGGTATTATCCGCTTTAACTTGAAAGTCTAACGATTTTGTCCTACAAAAGATACCTCATAGATTTGGGATTAAGTCTCAACTTATATATCATTCCTTATCTACATATTTTTTCAATGTGGGATTAGGGGCATTACAATCTCCCCACCTTTAAAGCTTGTGGTCCTTGTCAAGCCGAGTTTAACCACATGACCAAGATCACACCAAACGTTAGGATTCTAGAGGTGGCTTCCCATCATGTAGCACTTAGTGACTCTTAAGATGTAGCACTTAGTTCTCGTAGACTAGTGATAGCTCTAATACTATTTGTGGAGACCCACACCCAACTTACGAGGTATTATCCACATTGACCTAAAAGTTTCACAGTTTTATCCCACAAAAGGTGCTTCACAAATTTGAGATTAAGTCTCAACTTATATATTATTTTTATCCACATATTCTTCTAATATGAGATAGAAGGCGTTACAAAAAATCCCTAAATGAGTTGTGGGAGGTTTTATATTTAGGTCTTTAAATGGGAATTACATAACATGAGTATTAAATATGAATAATGGTGAATAATGGGAGACTTGACTGCTACAAAATATATTAATATATTATTTAATGAGAGTTTAACTTTATGGTGATAGGCATAGTGAATATAAAAATTCACTATCTATTATTTCCATATTTGATCCACCAAGCAAAGCTCTCCCAAACATCCCAATAGTGGAATTAACCCAAGAATCCTATAATATTCTTAGGTTATTTCATTTTTTCATTCGGTGAAGTAACATTTGATGAAGCACTTTTTGTGGAATAACTCTTAGTGAAGCAACTTTTGGTGAAAGAGTTTTTAGTAAAAGTGTTGTTGTTGTTTTTTCTGGAAGTTATTACGAAAATAGTTGTTACATAAAGAGTTGTTCATTGAATAGTTGTTTTATGAAGGAGTTGTTCCTTAAATAATTGTTTAGTGAACAGTTGTTTTATAAAATATTGTTTCATGAATAACTGTTCCTTAAAATAATCTTCACTAAAACAATCTTATCATCTGTTTTAATTTGTTCTTAACTTTAACAACTTTAGAGAACTTTATAAAAATAAAATATTAATAACTAAAATCAAGTATCTACACCGATAATACGTAAGGTTTAAGAAAAAACCTAGTGTTTCAAAACAAATGGGTTTAAAAAATTATTGCTAAAACTGATCTTTACTTGGGTTTAAACTTCAAAGATGGGTATTAACTATTCAATCGAAGTTTCTTATTATTATTATTATTATTTATACAGCTCCAGTCCAGTTTTGTTAAAATAATAATAAAAAAAGTTATGTATTCATGGCAGAATTTTCAGTTGCTATTTGATTCTAGGACGATGATCTAGTATCATCAACAAAAGTTCTTCTCGTGATTAATCTGACTGTTCGGAGTTTACTTTGTTGAGCTAATATATATTCATCTTATCGTAAAGAAGAATACAGTCTATGAAAGTGCATTGTCGTACTCCGTAAGCAAAAGCAACTTTAGGGGTTTGGGACTTTGGATTGGGCTGTTTCTGATTGAGAGCCTCTCAACTACGGTAAGAGTTAACTAGCTGTAGGCTGGTCATGCCACTACACTGCTGTTTGACTTGCATTTCTCAAATATAATGGGAATCTGATAAAATATAATTTTGCAGTAAAAACTGAAACCTAGGTTTTATGTGTTATTTACACTTGTTTCATGCTTATCATTTAGTCTAATTAGAGACGCCACTACATCCCTCATGGAGGGTCTTGTATCAGCCATAGATTGAGTGCATTAACGTGCCAGTTCCAGCAAATCGAGGGCCTTTTGTTGTTCATTATTGAGCCAAAGGCTGATCTCCTGATCAAGGAAGCAAATGTATTCTTCGTTTTCCAGTAGGTTCTTTCTAGTCCACGAGACGATATCTAGGCCATCCTGGAAGCAAGGGTCTACAGGCAATTTTCTGCATAGAATCTCCAGCAGAATTACTCCATAGCCGTAGACATCGCATTTCTCTGTCAATCGAGTTGAGTATGCATTCTCTGAAGAGAGCCACAATCGACCCAAAAAAAAAAAAAGAAAGCAATTTTAGAAACTCTGTTTCTACTTTGTAATGTAGAATTTTTAAAATCAATTGAAAATATGATGCAACCTGGTGCTAGGTAGCCAAATGTTCCAACAATTGCAGATCTTGTGGAACTTGAATCCAGGTCACAGGCCAATTTTGCCATTCCAAAGTCTCCAATCTTTGGTTCGAATTCAGAATCCAATAGTATGTTATTTGACTTGATGTCTCTGTGGATAATCGGTGGCACACAATCGTGGTGAAGGTAGGAAAGGCCATGAGCTATACCAAAAGCAATACGATATCGTGTGTCCCAGTTTAAAACCAAATGAGGTTGGCTTTGGTGTAGCACATCAAAAAGTGTCCCGCCAGGCTTAAAAGTCAGTTACGATGAATCCAAATCCATCTCTAATGCAGTAACCTGCCATTCCCAATATATTCCGATGCCTAATTAAGCCAAGAGTTCTTATCTCAAGTCTGAAATTTGTGTCAGACAAACTCACTTTCTTGACAGCCCAATGGTTCCTAGAGTTGGAAGATTCTGTCCGGTAAACTGTTCCATGTTTACCTCTCCCAATGATATACTTGTCACTCCATCCCTCTGTAGCACGAATAATATCTTCGATTTTCATATTCTCAGGTAGATCTTCAGTTCTAGATTGTCGCTTATGGCGAAGTGTTTGATCAAAGGAATGTTTCTTTTGAAGGTGTCTAACCACCAATATATAGATCATCGCGCAAAGCAATGCCACGGAGACCACCACAGCAATGATTACCCCAGCCAGCACCCTTCCGCTGCTGTTGCCTTTTCTATGTTCCTGACAAAAACCAGTTTCATCACCCAGCGGGCAAAGTTCTGGGTTTCCGACAAATGATCCATGATATGAAGCTATGATCCTCATCCAAGCAGATGGTAATTTTCCTGTTAGGTGATTGAATGATATATTCACGAAGTAGAGGGAGATCATGTTGTTCATATCTGTTGGTATCTCACCAGAGAAACTGTTGCTTGAGAGATCAAGGATCTGTAGCTTGTCTAGTTTGCCAAGGCATGCAGGGATTTCACCAGAGAGCCTATTGTTGCTTAAATTAAGAACTGAACTGAAATGGTGAAGGTTACTCAAACTGCATGGAATGAGACCTTGAAGCATGTTACCTCCAAGCTGCAATTCGAAAAGACTTTGGAGGGAAGCAAAAGAATCAGGAATATATCCAATGAGTTTGTTCTCTTGGAGTAGAAGGTTTTGCAATTTGGGCAATGATATTATTTCTGAAGGAATACTTCCTGAAAGATAATTGGTGCTAAGCTCCAGTTTGATGATCTTTTTGCAATGACCCAACTCCGAGGGAATGCTTCCTGTAAGTCTATTAGAAGAAACCCCTAAAATTTGTAGATTTTCAAGCTTCCCAAGCTCTGGAGGTATAAAGCCACAGAGCCTATTCCGTGGGAAATCAAGCATTGAAAGATTGGTCCAGTGACCAAACACCGGGGGAATCCTTCCTTCAAGCAAGTTTCCCTGGACCTCCAAGAAGAAAACTCCAGCGTTCTCTTCCAAATCTTCTGGTATAGGTCCTTGCAAAAGATTGTTACTAAGGACCACCCTTCTGAGGGATGAGCATTTTCCAATATCAGTAGGAAAGCGCCCACTGAAACGGTTGTTCCCAATGGCCAAAACTGAAAAATTACCTCCAGCACATATTCCGTAAGGAATTGATCCATTATGGCGGTTCCCCGATAAATCCAATCTGACCAGAGAAGGAAAACTTTTCCGGAGCTCAAATTGCACCTCCCCAATGAGATCATTGTGAGCCAAGGATAGAAATCTCAATTTCTTTAAATGAACAATTTCAGATGGGATTCTACCAGTCAAACTGTTGTTATACAAAGCCAACTGCACCAGGTTGCTCATCCTACCAATTTCTTGTGGAATGTGGCCTTAATATGATTGTTGAATAGAAAAAGAACCCCAAGATTTTTGAGATGCAAACTTCTGGAGGGATACTTCCTCCAATGAACTTATGCTGAAGCCCTAGTTCGACAAGTGAACTGCAGTTTCCAAGCTCGGGAGGTAATGAGCCGTTAAGCATGTTATTGAAAATAAATAAATTAGTTAAACTCGTAAGATTTCCTATCGACTGAGGAATGCGACCAACCAGATTATTACCTGAAAGAGCAATAACCACTAGCTGATTGCATTGAGCAATCCTCTCGGAAATAGTTCCATTAAGCTTGTTCCCTGAGAGAATAAGCTCTTTTAAGTTTTCCAGACTCCAGAAAGTGCCTGGAATTTCCCCTTCAAGATTGTTTTCATCAAGATACAGAACTTCAAGTTGCAAAAGGCTCTTAAAAGTTTCTGGCGGAATGCCCCCTTTGAAATTGTTGTAGGATGCTATAAACATAGTAAGGTTGTAGCAGTTTGCAATGGTCCGTGGCAAAGAACCCGAAAATTCATTCTCGTGAAACCAAAGATAAAAAATTCCACATGAAGGTGGGAAATCAGTTAATGAAACCAGTGAGGTTATTCGTGTTCAAATAGAGGAACTTCAAATTTTGTAGAGAAAAAATTTCACTTGGAATCTCTCCACTTAGAAAATTGTTATAAAGTCCAATGTATTCTAGAGAGGTGCAAAGACTTACTTCAGGGGGAATTTCACCAGAGAGGGAGTTATAGCCCAAGTCAATCCTTCTGAGCCACTTCGACATGAAAATTTGATGAGGGATTGACCCTTCCAAGTCATTATCATTGAGAAGAATGGTATTAAGTTGGCCACAGTTTCCCAGCATTTGAGGTACGTTACCACTGAAACTGTTGCCACTGAGGTCAAGAGAGAGCATTCGCTTGTGGAGGCAAAGATAAGGGACGGAGTTGTTTAATATACCGGATAGCCCAAACCCTGATAGATTCAAGGCTCTGACCTGAAAACTCTTTTCGATGTAGCAAGACACACCTGCCCATTGGCAATGAGACTTTGGAGTATTGGATTGATTCCATGGTAACAAAAGTTGACTGTGTTTTGGGAGGCTGTCAAGGAACTGGAGAAGGTAAATTGCAGGTGGAGATAATGAGGCTGATGAAACTAGGAAAGGAATGAGTGAGAAGATAACATGATACTGGAATAACAACATGATGTTCTCATTAAACATACATTCAACCTCTGTTGGTGAAATTGATTTGAGTCTTAGATTCTATTCTTTTAATCCACTAATGTTTTGATGTTTTTTTGTTAAACTGTTTTTTAAGGGTGATATATGGGTGCTAGGCGGCAGCACATGTATGCTGAAACAAGTTTCAATATGTCTGGTTGTTTACTTTTGGATTACAGCGTGTAAAAATTACTTGTACTCAAAGAAAAGCTGCTACAAGGGGCTATTTTGACAAAGTAAAATAATGGTGTGGTCTAAAGTGTCGAGGGGTCCATAACGCCCAATAAAAATATGATGGTGTTTTTTGGGAAGTCGAAACAGGAGGCCAGCTATAATTTCCGATAAATGTATGTTTTTGCACATCTTTTCCTTTTACTGTATACCTCGAATATGATTAAAAAAAAAATTGGACAAAATGCATTCCCCCATATGATGAAAATAAAAGTTAAACATCCTCTTTGAAAGAAAAATGGCCAATATCTTGGAGAACAATACAAGTTGGCTTCTCTGGCATGATAATGGTTTTAGACTTGGTTGTTAATCAATCAACAGGAAACCATCATCACTCTCCAAACCTCCAACTTACTACTATGATTTAGGAAGAATAATCATGTCTCAACTCAAATATCAATGAGCCATATATTGTTACCTACAATCCAAGCCAGTGGTACATTTCAATTTGAAGAGTAGGTAGAGGTGAGTAGTCGATCAGTTCGGTCAGTTCGATCTGAAAAAATTAATAATTGAATTAATCGATTTTTATTTTATCAGTAACCGAATTAACTAACAAAATTTTAATTAATTGATTTAACCAAACCAACCAAAAATCAGCTCGATTCGATTAGTTCGGTTAAATAACAAAATTTTTCATCATTTTTTCTCTTATTTTGAATAATTATTTAACTACAAATTCAATCCAATAAAACTTAAATTCACGTACCATTTAAACTAAATCACTAAAGAATTTAATAATTTCTACAATATTTTACAAGAAAAAAGACAAATAAATACTCATCAAACTTATTTAATCAAAATAAATTAAACAATAAGTTTTAAAAAGTATTACTCTAACGTATATGAAATAACAAACAAAGCCATCAGTACATAATAATTGTCATTTCAACACATAAACAAGTTTTAAAGGGTCAATAAGCCAACTTAAAAAAGCAAATCAAGCAAATATGCTTCTCATAACTTTGGTGCAAAACATAAAAGACATTTTAAGTTGGCAAATTGAGCTATCAGCTCCTACAAAACATAAAACAAGCTAAGGACACTTCGAGTTGGCAAATGGATATAAAAGTTCATAAAAAATATAAAACAAGCTAATTAAAGGACATTCCAAGTTCTAACAGCATTCTTCATACATGAACCCCATAATTTTGGTGCACATCTTTCATTATTTCCTAAGATGTTAAAGAGATCAAAACCTTAATTAGTTGTCAAATAATACAATAAATATTTTTTAAATGCATATATTCATAGAAATTAATAATGAAATTACCTCAAAAGGTCCATGCACCTTTTTTTTAATCAATTACTGGATCTAAGGTAATTTTTGACGAATTTAAAAATATATAAATAAAAAATAACAAAAGTAAGCTTTAAACAAATAAAAAATAAAAAAATAAAAAATAATAATCTTTAAAAAATAAATGATGGTATAAATAAAATATTACCTAAATCCATTTTGTCAAGCTGTGTTAAATCATCTTCAGGTTGAAATGAATCAAGATTAAAAGATCTATGTAACCAATCTTGAGCACAAATAAGGGCTTACACAATTTTAGGAGTTAAAAAGCTCCTATATCAAGCACACAACCACCAGTGCTAAAAGTATTCGGAAGCAACTGTGGATATAGGAATTGCCAATACATCACGAGCTAGATGAGAAATGATAGGAAACTTATGGCTATTAAGTTTCCACCAAGTTAAAACATCAAAGTCATCACTATCATCATTATCAGGCTCCTCACTCAACTATTTAGCCAATTCTGATTTATGTTCATCTTTGCCAAGTTCAATCCTATAGCTCTTGTACTTGAACTTAAAGCTTTCTTTCTTTTTTGTCATTCCATTTCCACTTTCATCATCGGTGGGCTGTGACATTTGGCTCACTTGACTACTTTCACCAACTTGCTCAGACTGAGATTCTAACATTCTTTTGTATTCATTAAACAAGTCATCTATTGCTTGTTGTACTTTTTTAATCATCAATGAAGCTTCATCAGAAGAATACATTTTCATAAAGCAATATTCAACAAAAGGAAACTTTTTTGAAAGATCAAGAAGAGAAGCAATATAAACTAACATATTCATCTTCTTTATATTTTTCTAATACTTATTATATTTATCCTTCATTTTCTTTGCCATTGCATTCAACTCAACAACAGGATTTAATTGCCATTCTCGAAAAGTGGAATAAACATCACATATATCATTAAGAAAAGTATTAGATGTGACATAAGAAGTACTGAAACTTTCACGGTGAGATCATAAAATTGTTGCAAGAAAAGGAAAAACTTTTTAACAATTGCCTAATCATTTTGATCGGGCACCCTATCTCCCATCAAAAGCTCACCTCTATAATAAGGATTAACATCATCAAATGCATCAAATGTCCTTTCAAACTTTTGAGCTACATCCAACATCAAATAAGTATAATTCCATCTAGCGTTAACGTCCAAACACAATAAACTTTACTATGAATATATTCATTCACAACACACTCTTTAAACTTAGCTAACATGGAAGGTGATTGTCTCACATATCTTATTGCCCCTATAACACGAGCAATTGTTTCATTCATTTCTTTCAATCCATCACAAAAATAAGATTAACAATATGTGTAATGCATCTCAAATGAAGATATTTGCCTTCCAAAATACTAGTTCCAGCATTGTTAAATTTTTTCCTCAAATATGCAATTACAACATCATTAGAACTAGCATTATCAACTGCAATAGTAAAAATCTTGTAAGTCCCTCAATCACGTAAATATTTTTCAACCGCCTTACCAATAGCTTCACCTTTGTGATAGAAATGGGATAAAAATTCAATATCTTTTTGTTTAGTTTCCAATCTTTGTCTATGAAGTGAGCCATAAGACATATATAATTGACCCTTTGTAATGAGGTCCATGTGTCAGTGGTAAGAGACACTCTTGTGGAAAATGATTTCATGAATTGCTTCAAATGAGTTTTTTCATCAATATAAAGTTGATAACAATCCTTAGTAATTGTCCATCGTGATGGTACATGAAATCTAGGACATGCAATTGGCATGCAATACCTAAATCCTTCCGACTTCACAAATCTAAATGGCAACTCATTTAAAATGATCATTTTAGCTACAGCTTTTCTAACAACATCTTAATTAAATTTCCAAGTGCCTAAAGATTTCGCTCCTCCTGATGACAACACCAATTCTGTTTGAGTACTATCATCCTTACTAACACAAGAAAGCTTTTTACAAGAATTCATGTGATTCTTTAAAGTAATGGTTCCATTCTTTTTAGGATTAGTAAAAAATTCTCTGTCACAATAATTACACCTAGCTTTACGATTACTTCTGTCACACCTCGGACCAAGACATAACACGGCCATATTGCTTTGAAGTAAAACCCCAAAGCAATACGAAGCCTAATCCATAACCATTGAAAAATTCTCAAATATAATAAGGTTTTCATTAACTAAAATAACTAAATAACAAGTCTCAAAGGTTCAAAGGAGTATTACAACTAAAGAAACAATACTTCATAAAATCTTAATTTCTAAGTAGTTTTTCAATGCTCGATTCTTCTAGCTTTTTCAAGACTAATCATACTTATCATTTATAACATCTGTAAAAGAAAAGTAAAATAGAGAATGAGCAAATCATAATGCAGTAAGTAAATGCTCACACAACTTACCGGATCAAACAACTTTTTTTATATACGTATTATATAGATCATTTTAAAAAAGCATTTACCAACTCATAATGTCAAAAATAATTCAAAAATTAGCATTCTATTAAACATTCATAGATCATAAATTAGTATGAAAATATGTCACAAAATCATGGATCAATTTATAAAAAAAAATCATTCATCACAAACCATTATTATCATGCATTTATCGTTAGCTACGGTCATTGCTATAACCCGTGACATTGACCGTATTAGCAATTTCATCCTCATGATCATTGTAACTATTATAACCCCCTAGCCAAGGCTTTACACTAACTACTATAACTCGTTAGCAGGGTCATATGATCATGTCTTTGCTAACTACTATAACCCGTTAGTCAGGGCCGTAGAACTAGTTCCGGTGTCGATGATCCCACTTTCCAATGATGTAAAAACGCTGCCATCACAAAATCATTTTCTCATTTCATTCATGGGCATGATCCATCATTTATATAGAGAAACACAAAATAATCATATGCTTGATCCTATTTTCATACATCGAAAATAATGAAATAAAATATTCATTCATTTAGAAACATACACATATACATATATTCGAAAACAAACAAAGTGTGTGAAATTCTACTTACCTCCTTTCGATTCCACCACCTAGTTTTTCTCTTTCAATAATTAATGGCCTATTCAAGATAATTTCAACATAATAGTTATTAATCAACCTATTTGAGACCGCTTATACCAAAATAATTAAGCTAAATAAAAAATAACTCGAGTAATTAATTATGGCAACCTGGACTACTTTTACTAAAATGATCATATCTCAAGATATCCAATTCAAAATTAAAGTCTTTTTAATGTGTTAGAAACTAGACTCGACAAGCTTTCTAACCATATATGCCCCATCTTGTGATTCCTTGTGGATTAATTATAACAATTTTTGTAATCACATCATATGCTACTGCTAGATAGCTTGTATACCTTTTTCTAAAAATTACGTATTTATTCATAAGAAACTCTAATTTTAATTCTGCTTCATTCATTGGAAAGTAGACTCAATAAGCTTTCTAAACATATATGGCTTAATCTATAAGTCCTTGTACAAAAATTAAGGGAA